AAATCCGACGAACGGAGCAATAATGGATATTTCTTAAGACCCATTTGCGTTCTTAGTCTTAATTATTTGGAAATTGTGAAGGGAAAAGAAGATGAACAAAATAATCTGTACACGTATATTGATAAGTAGAGTCGAGAAGAACGATAGTGAAAAATATAATTTTGGAATTTGACTTTCAGGCTTATCCGTAGCCATGTAGAGGAAAATGAAACATGGGATAGTTTGTCCAATTTTACAAGGATATAGGATGATACATTAAACGTTATAGGAACAAATTTAATCATAGGAATGAAACAGTTGCATGGAACTTGTTCTCCCAATTGAACTAATTACACACTCTTAAAAATGAATAATCGCAAATTTTGCTGAAGGTGCAACGATAGATCAAAATTAACATGATTTTACTCATTCAAACATAGTGATGAAAAAGCCAGTAAAAGATGATTGTAAATTTGTCAGGACGAGGATAAATTTGTTGGTATTGTACGTGATATGATTTTGGTTTACATTTTCTATGATTTTTAAAATTAAGTGGAGGACAAAAAATATACTCTAATCTATAAAGAGAGACTGCAATGGTTTGGCACAACTTTGTAGGCGTGGTAAGTGAGTAGAGTCTAGTCGAGTTGAGTGTTAGCTGTTTTGCTCGATCAAAGCATGCCTCGACTTGCTCCATGATCATGTCCTTTGATGGGACGAGCTAGCTTGTGTTTGGCTCATGTCCACGGCTCACCTCGGACACGAATCAATTCAGCTTGGCTCATTTGTGGGACGAGCCCCCTATCCTTTAGAATAACATATACCAGTGTTTTAACAATTGGAGCAAATATTGACTTAAAAAAGTGAGTCGAATTGCGATTGAACTTCAATGAAAAAATAGCTTCTTTTAACGATTTTTACACTATTTTTTTAAATTTTTACTTGTAAATGAATTACATGTCAGACTAATTCACAATTTTTATTTTTAGTTGAATCGTCACGTCTGATTTAATTCTTATAGTGTGGTATGTACAAATAATTTTCCACTATCTTTATGTTATCATTATTCCTATTAAATAATCAACTACATTGACAACTTAGCATCAATAAAAAGTAGCCTTTCCCCAAATGGTATTGAATGGGCACTATAATTTTATAATTTAGGTGTGTAAATGGTACTACAGTTCTGATATTTAAATCATGTAAATATATTCCAACACCATTTGGCAAAATAAAAAATGTACAGAAAAAATTGCTTTGAATAAGAATTGGTACCAAAGTGAGTCACTTGCCGGTTTAAAAGAAGCCAACATTAAAAAAATAAAATCATGCACCAATTCAATTGTTCCCACAGTCCCACTAGAATCTCTCTACTATTACTGCATTAAATAATTATTATATTTATATGATACGGACAGGTTAGCAACAGAGACAGACATGTAATGACATAAACAATGAAAACTTCATTAAAACAAATAAGGAAAAGGGAGATGGTGCGTTTTTACCATCCCCTTGATTAATTTCCCACGTCCCCAGCCCTGTTATCCTAGCAGAACTCTTTGAAATATCAACATTAGTTAATCATAAGTACAATTCGGAATTTTGGGAGTTTCAATTTAGTACTATCAATGGTTTGTCAGTGACTAATTTCAACTTGTTTATTTTTATAAGCGTAGTTTAGATGTGATCGTGAAACTAAATTTATTTCCATATTCAATTTGAGGACTTGTCTGGAGTTTCTAAACACGTAAAGATAGTACGACCTACTAGCAAATGAAAAAATCGAATTTCGAGAGTGTTAATTGATAAAATCAAGAATAGTGATCGTATCAAAACAATATACGTAAAAAAAATAAAGGAGTTTAATAAGATAAATCATATTCTTTCAAAATAATCGTCAATCAATTATTTGTTTGGATTTGAACTAATTTGAAGTCATAAATCCCTAAAGAAATAAAAGCCCTAAAATCCAAAAGCTATTTAGGTATTTGTTTACACAAATTAATATTTTGTGTGAGAAAAAGTTAGATTGCACCTAATTTTTGGATCTCCAAATTTTATAAGGGGGAAAAGGGTTAGGGAAGCATGGGCACGTCAAGCCTGGCTGTCTGGGATTTATCAAGATTCGGGGCATTGGGAGCTGCCTTGTGCACTTTAGCATAATCCGTGTTAGAAATAACAGTTTAGGTGGCACTAATGTGAATTAAATTAGAAATACAATTAAACGATTCACTTAATTGCATCTTTCATTGAGTTTATTGCATCACACCATCTAAACTAGTATTGTAGCACGACTAATGCTAGATAATATTATTCGAGGTTAAATGAGTAAGAAAATTTTAAACACGTTGATTAACCTTTAATAAATAACAGTTTGATTCATACACGTTTGTCATAGTAATATAGTTCAAATATGAGTGTTTGATGTGCGCACGGGTTCGATTCAATTTCCAAGAGAACTGGATCGAATCGGACGATGCCACCTTTATTTGGAAGTGCGAAAAAGGAAAGTGATTAATTAGATGGATGCTAAGGTTATTAAGCAAGAAGCTTTTGAACGAAAGGACCAGTTGCACTTTAGGTCCTCATTATTTTTCTATTGTAACAATTATGTGCCCCATTATTTTTCATTTTCAAACTTCAGTTAATTAGCACTTGTCACCTTTAGTAATATTTTTATCCCCAAAGTCAATTAAAATGACATGAAAAGACCTATTTGTTCGTCATATTTTGAAAAACAATAAATGCTAAAACACAACAAAATATTTTTTCATCATGCAAAGTATGCGAACAAAATATTTTAATAGTATGCCACCATCAAGGATGACATATGCTAGATAATGAATATTAAAGATAAGAATTTGATGAAAAAATGGTTAGGAACATAAATTCTATAATGAAAATCTTAAGTACAATTAAATTGTAATGCAATAAATAAAAATTGTTGTGAGAATATAACTATCCTAACAAAAATTCAAAATAATAATGTGGGACAATGCAACAACTGGGCCCATTGAGGTAAGGTACATTGTAACTCTTGTGACCCGAGAAGAAGTTACGAGTCCATAGATCTATTATTCAAATATATTCGGGCTTATGGAGAACTGGGCTAAACTAAAGAGTGTCAAGTTTTACTATCATAATGAATAAGAGTATCTCTAATAATAGTGTAAAATAGATATTTAGATCTTCAAAATAATCGAAAACCTCTAGAACGAAGAGTTGCAAACGATATGCAAATTGTATTTTTGGACAGAAAATGTAAAAGAAAAAAATCGAAAGAGGCAAAACGTGGATTTAAATCCTTAGAGCATAATTTGAATTTAGATCAAGTACTTAACAACGTAGACATACACAATCTTTGCTAATTGTACCCCTATATCTTCATAGATAAAATTAGATAAGTTCAAATATATGGTGTAAAATGGTTATTTGTACCCTATTTAGTTTTGTTCAGTCTAACATACTAAATTCAAACTCATCCTGCTGTAATTTACAATGCTTTGTATTGATTCGTGCATCTGTAATGACAATTGTGAATGGATTCGTACTACATTTGGTAATTGCGAGATCACAAATGTGGCAGTAGAATACAAACAATCAACACTGGTTCACTTTCAAAAGCTACTCATACTAAATTAGGAGTACCAAACATTATTATTTGACTGTCCGAGTGATTTAGTAGACATGTTCAATGAACAAATCATAGACGGCTAGCTCTATATAGCGTCAAATTATTGTACACATTGTATGATTATAGTGTACACGTAAACTACAAAGTACACAATTCATTCTACCGAAAGGTGAGACAAATTTTCGTAAGCTGGCCACATCCCACACCCTGCAACGGCCCAAGTATAGAATTGTTAATAATGTAAATCTCCTCTAAACGGCGAGTAGATAGAGTAAGTTTCATGAACAAAATTGTAAAGAATAGTAATTTGCATGGAAGCGTGGTGCTTATGTGTGTAGACAATCAATGTCCAAATTTTAGGTTGAAATTGATACCTAACGGGACTTTTCAAGGCGTTTGGGTGGCCTCAAAGACAATATCAGATTTTTGAGCATGTCTCAGGGGCGGAGCCAGCACCTGGCGAGGGGGCGCGGCCGCGCGTGCTGGCTCCGCCGGAATGTTCAGGAGCTGTCGGGCACCAAATGTTGGCAATGGCAAACTGGTAGTTGCAGAAACGGAAGAGGGAAGAAGACGACCAAAATTCTATTTTATATTTTTTGGGCTGATGACAATTGACACACATGGGCCTCTTTTTCTTTAAAAAAACTGGCCCAAATCAATAAATCATGGTAAAAAACAAATGGCCCAAACCCCAATCCAATTCCAAGTAATAAAAGGCAAACCGAGGCAAATGTGAAACCGTAAACAAACCCGTCTAAGCTCTAGTTGAAATTTAAAACTGCAAACCCTTTTAGTTGAAAGCAATGATATGCCTGCTGCTGATGGTTGACAGGCGAGGAGTCGCCGCCTATAGTGGACTGATGATTGGTGTGGTGAGTGCCTTTCTCAGTTTCTCTTACTCCCCTTCTCTCTTTTTTCGTTGTTTTTGTTCTATATGCTGAGTTGTTAAATGTTGAGTATTGTTTGATATTTCTTTAATTTGTGTTATTGCTTATTAATCAGTGGACGGTGAATCACATTCATTCATATAAAAGGCAATTTTTTTATTATTATTTATGAGTTATGATTTATTTTTTATGAGGTATTACTGAAAATGGTGATTTTACTAATTTATGATATATTCATGTTTTATGAGTTATGATTTATGATTATTGATTTGGGAATTTATGTTTAAGAAATTATAATAAGTGAAAAAAAAAATGAACTGAGAAGATGCTGGGCACAATTCAACTTGTGTGGGCTTAGTACTCTGTTTTTTAATCAATTCTAATGGAAAAATAAATTGGGGCATTTTGCATATTATGGAACGATTTTTTCAACCAGATCGAAAATCTATGGAGAAAGATATTTTTAGAAAAATTGATCATGAGGCAATATTGAAATATTTTCAAAATATGAGACCCATGAAATGCAATTATCTAAGTTTACAGTTACAGAGTAATATTGTAGTGTATTTTTTTAGTATTTTGAATTGTATTGAATTATATTTTCACATATATATAATTTTTACATTTTAATGTATTTACATATATTGAATAATTTTTAATATTTTTTGATAAAATTTTAATAAACGATCGAGCTATTACGATCGTTGATTATCGACAGTCAATGGTTAACGATCAACTATCGATGGCCAAGCTCCTCCGCCCTAGCTGAATTGAAATCCTGAATTCGTCCCTGGCATGTCTGCCTAAGCTTAAGAAAAGGTAAGCTTTTGTATGGAAAATCCTCCTCCAAAAGAGGGAACTTGTAAAAAACTCATATATGCTCCAAAATAAGATACTTAAAAAGTAACTTTTAACCTTGTACTTTATCCTAAGAAAAAGTTCCACACCTAACACAAATGAATACTAATTATTAGGAACTCAATCCTGCCAGTAATATAAAGCCAAAAAGGAGAGAAAATTCAGGGATACAACAAAAATTTTGAGAAGAAAATTCATGTCATGTATAAGAAGGCCAAATACTTGACTGCCTAAATTAATTAACAATACTAATTTCATGACATGGCTTCCAACCATTTCAAGTCCGGTACTTCTTCATTATGTCACTATAAGATTGATAGTCAACCAGTATCTTGTACACTCCATTTAGGAGCCGGTGCACTGACATGTAGGATTTTAATAAACATATAATGGGCTATCTATTAACACCTACTGCATCGGACAATGAAACAGTAGTATGCTTCTAGAATCTCAATCTCATTTTGTGAAGTGACTTTATCTTCTAGTGTACCTTATTGGGATACTTCTCTGAATATTCTTGTTCTTAATTGCGTCGATCAAATTCAATCATGGAGCAATACATTTTGAGCAAATGAATTACAGATGAATAATAGTGCCAAGTATCAATATAGTAAATAAACCATCCAAATAAATCACAATTTTCAGTTATGTTAAGAATCAATAAGAAAAGTAGGGGTGGGCGCGGGTCGATTCGGTTCGGTCCGAACTAAAATTTTCGGGTATCTAGTAAATGGAACCGTCGGATCCAAATATAATTATGGAACCGTTCGGGTTCGATTTTGTTCCGTTTGGTTCTGTGCTATAATTAATTTTTTTAATATTTATAACAACATTATATAAATACAACTAATGATACATTCAGTGGTTTTTGAATGTCAGAGACTAATAGATTACCTTGTTCAAATGATTGCTACAGTCAAAGTTTCAGTCAGCGGAGATCACAGCTTCGATCGGAAGTCACAATGTCGGCCGACGATTGTATAGATTTTGGAATATTAGCGAGGCTGTGAGAGTCGAAACAACATTATGCACTTTAGTGTAGGTGTTTAGAATTATTTAGTGGATTGGATTTTGTTGGGATAAGAAGTGAAACAATAAAATAGTTAATTGGGCCAAAAATTAAAAAATTAGAAATGAAACAAATTATTGGGCCAAAAATTTGAATTTAGAAGTTGTTAATTTGTTTAGAAAAAATTAAAACTAAAATAATTTGATTTACTCAATATAAAAAAAAAATTAGAAAAATTCGGTTCTTATTCGATTTTTCGGTTCTTGGTTTAGAACCGAGAACTGAACCGTACCCATCGGTTCTCAATTCAGATACCCGTTCGAATATTTAATTTGACAAGAACCGTCAAATTCGGTTCGATCGAATCAGTTCGAGAGATTTGCCCAACCCTCAAGAAAAGTGTGATTGAGAGAAAACAAAGAAAATATGTGGCATGAAAATTTTTACCTCGTCAACTTTACTTTGAAGTTCTAAAAGTTCCTGACAATAAGTGAGGCACTCAGAATGGTATGCAGCAGCCAAGTCTTTAATCAATGCCTTCCTTCTAATGATACCAATCACTTCAAAAGAAGCAAGGAAAAGTTCAAATACGTAACAAGATATAGCACGTAGTCTCAATTAAGTCACACTTTATTCTTTTTACAGTAACGCAAATATATTTCATCCCCTTGCTAATAATATTGATCACTTCAAAAGAAGCAAGGAAAAAGTCGTGTTCAACAATACATAGCATGTAGTTTCAATTAAGACAGATTTAATTCTCTTTGCACCACAAACACAAATATACTTCGTTCCATGCTAGTTGTTTGACCAAAGAGCTCATTATTCTGTTCCTATACGTTTGAATAATTTTATAAAAGCAACAGCTCCTGGTTCTCCATAAATGATATCTCATTTCTCTAATATTCCAGTATTTTATGTTTCCAGAACACTTCTTATCGCAGCAGAATATCTCCAGACTATTCAACATCAAGCCCCAAAAATGTCATAACAGATCAATTTGCTTCTTTAAGTGCATGTTTGGCAAAGCTTGAATTTTTTTTAAGCTGGTCAAATATAGAACCCACAACTTAACAACTTAGTACCCACATTCTGTGGGACCCACAACTTATAAGCACTTAAACTTTTTATTCCTAGCATACTACTTGCCAGCTCTCAAGCAGAATGAACCACCTCAAAGGATAAATTAGATATCATCCATCGACCATATACAAAAACTGAAGAGGAAAATACGCAAGATACAGTGACTGACCAGCACACTGATCCAATAACTTTCTCAGACAAATTGAAAGAAGTAAACTGAAGGTAGGATTGCGTTGCTATCTAGTTCGATGCAATAAGAGCAATGGGGCCGAGACAACTCTTTACAAAGTAGAATTGGCAACTTCTACATGAATTTTCAAGTGGATGAGATCAATCAACAAGTGTCAGTCAAGGAACGCTAAAGAGCCATGTAACAGGACACTGCCTCTTTGTATCTGATAAGCCAACAAAACAAAGCCAATTGGCCAAGATGCTACAACCCCGTTGCAGCACACATGATCCTTGTGCCTTAACACGCATGATCCTTATACCTTAACCAGGATCATATGTCTATCACACAAAATATAACTTAAAATAATTTCATAAGCGAGTCAAAGTAATGGGCACAAAAGCCTCCATCCCCAAGAAAACCTCTGTGAAACGAAATAGACACATGGGGGCATCCCATATCCCACCATCAACCACATGTCTCACCAAACAGAGATTGTGCTACATCAAATGGGTACACCATTCCTAAACATGGTTTGTTCAACACGTTTATAAATAGTGAAGCCTAGTTTACACACAAGCATTCAACCTTATGCAAATGATCACACTCGTGGAACCTGGACATTTTCTGTATCTTGTCTGCCCCAATCATAAGAGCATGGCAGGATAGGGACCCTATCAAGTATCAAGTCTAGAATATTCATGAATACAGCACTTTACAACGTGGCTGTAAATTTCAACCGTCTACAACCATGTGCACTAAGTTCATCCCAAACTAATTCTTCAACTAACTAAATCCAATCAATTATATACATACCAAATATACAAGCTCAATCTAACCAGAAACAACTATGAACATACAGACATACTAGGAAAAGAAAAAAAAAATTTACACGGACAAAACAACTCTACAACCCGTAATAAGATTTCAAGTTTCCGACTTCAAAGGATGCTAAAATTGAAACAATCAGCAACAATTCAAGAAACAACAGGCCAATATCATATCTTATTTCAACCCAGCACTAGAGCTCTCCAGCAACTATAAATCACCAAAATCATGAATCTTGGGCACAAAACATAATCAACAAATTACAAATTTACGAAAACCTAAAAGCTAAGCAGAGAAAGAGAAGCGGAAGGAAAGAAAGATAATTCACTCCCGCTGGGATCAACGGGAGATACTGGTTTTGCATGAGCGGGAAGAGGACACAGGACGAGGACATCGGAGCAGAAGGGTCAACACGTAATGAGGGAAGCGGAGGTAGAGACGGAGGAGGAAAGGGAGTTTTATTTGGAGTTTGCTCATTGGTTATGTTATGAATAAAAATCCCAGAATTTGAGAACCAAGAATATGGATTGCCTCCAACATGGTATAATTAAAGTTCAGCACTCTACAGTTCGTCTCCTTTTAGATTTGTGTAGTGTTCATTGGACAGGGATACCCTGTAAATTTGGAAAAGAAAAATTAGTTTTTAAAACTACTTATTTTATTTTGACAACAAGATCAACAATGTTGTAAAATGAAAGATTATTAGGGTTTAGATATGAATAACAATTACATTTCTGCAGCTCTAGAAATAATTACTACTGTATCTCTAATTCTGCCCTATAAATACAGGGCTTTGATTCTTAATAAAACACACACAAGTCTATTGACTTCTATATATTCTTTCTTTTTTTTTTTCTTTTTTTTTATAACACGTTACGATAGCTTAATTTTTCAAAGTTTAGTGAAGGTAATAATTTTTATAGGCATGAATATTTATCACATGTACCAAAATTAGTTTGGTAGCATGTGAACTCTATTTATACATACGCATTAACTTGTGCTTCGTCCACATAGTGGGGGTGTGGTAACACTCTGTATTCTAGCCCACAACAAGCCCTTTGGGCAACAACATAGGGCCTGCCTTTCGGTATTACCAAACCTCCATGTGGGATCATATAATCAGTAGTGCCAAATTTTCTGATGCAGAGGATCCTCAAAGAGGCAACTGCAAAGCATACTTTTGATACTACTTAGATCTTGTTCTTACTTATTCATTCTGGAATTTTCATAGTTGTCAAGACTATGGAAGAACAAAGAAATGATTTTTAGAAGAACATTGTTAAGAGGAACACACTTTTTATTAAAAAGAGTTGAGCTCGAGATGATCTTCAATGAAAGATAAGAGCTCCTTATATAGAGGAGGAGCCTCATCATACAATCGACACAAAACTAATAATACTACCAATGACTCATCACTTTTAGTACAATACTTATTACATAAGGACATGACTCACAACTTAAAAGGACATGACTCATCACTCTACTAACATAAGGACATGACTCACTACTTTTAGTACAATAATTTCACAACCATCTTTTAAAAAGTAAATAATCTACTTTTTTAAAAGGGATTTTATTGCAAACGACAAAATGATTATTTCACACGAGCTGCTGAGTCATCAAGGTGTTCCAAGATTTGCTTCTCGTCCAGGTTCATTTGAATCATCTGAATCAAAGGGGAGTCCATGTTGCTTCCACCAAGGCCAAGTTGTAGTATCAAATTTTTCTTCAAAAATTTTTTCTTCCAATTTTTCAAGATTGTCTGGGTCTGTTGGATCAAAATCATACGACTGTGTTCCATAATCATATGGATCTTGAGAGTCCTGGAAAACACTGTCATTATAATTTATTTCCGTGTCCAAATATCTTGAGTTTTGTTTGTCTGGATTGCTTGATCCTGGTTTGTCCACATCCATTTTATCAATTTTCATTTTTTCTTGAAATTCATTCCAGAGATTGTTACGCAGTTGTTGTCCTTCTGGTGTGGTTTCTGGATATTTAGATGTTTCTCCAAGGCATTGATGTGGCCTTCCCAAGTAAAGCTGGTTCCAATGGGTTTTGTCACTTTCCCAAGTATCAGATAGATAGTGTCCAAATACTTGTCCAAAAATTTGGCATTGTCCTTCTCTGTGTTTCTGAACATCTTGCTGATCTTGGTTGCATAGTCTAGAAGTAGAATTTCCCATGGAGCATCATCTTCTATGTCTGGCCAAATTTGTGGAGGAATTGTCTGGTTGATTTCAGCCATTTTTCTTTGAAATTCTCGAAACTCCTTTGGATACCTTTCCCAATCTTGATGGAGATTGAAAGGTTGGACTGCATACTCCTTGACATAAGAGAAGTGTTCATAAGAACCTGTTTCTGTAAAATATCATTGTCGTTGGAAAATCAGAATTACAAAAACATTGTTTTGGGAAGTTCTCAAATCTTTAAATTTTAAAGAAAATGCTTCAAATATTTTTATCCAATGAGAAATAGGATAAAACCATTCGAAAAATTTATTTGCCTCAAAATGTGTTTCTTGAAATGGATCATTTTTGTTAAAACTTCGAAAAGTGATTTCTTTGAACCATTCAAGAGATTCACAAACATTAAAAGATACTCCAATTTGGAAAAGTTCCAATAAGTACCACAGAAAACAAAGTAATTCCTTTGAAAATTTAAACTGCTTGGTGTGGGATTATATGGAACAAATTAAAAAATGGATAATCTGGATGAAATCCAAGACCACCAAGAGTTTCAATTCCTGTTTGCCTGATAACAATGGACTGGTATTTTAACATGAACTCTTTGGCTCGGGAATGGAAGGTTTTGTCTTTGATGAGAGTATTAAGTTCTGGGGGAATTTGTTCATTTTGAGAAAGCAAATGAAAGGGAGGGTTCATCAT